TGTAAAATGCATTGAAAGATGTTTTTTTTCTTATAAGGTCCATATAATGTTCTTATATATATTAATACATATCTGTTTTAAAGATTTACATTATTTTTACATGAATAATTGCCTTTTCATATATGTTTTTTATATCTTTAGTGTATCAAATAATGAATGAAAACTATGCTTTCTACATGTTTTCTATAAGATTTGTATATGTCCAACAAATAACATTTTATAAAAAATATATAGTCTCATTACATGACAAAATTATGTTTTGGAGAAACAGGGAGTATGTTAAAGAGTTTTGAGCAAATGCTGGTACTGCCTACTGTTTAAAAATATATTTTGAGTATACTTAATTCTTGTAAAATGTATATTAAAATTATTATTGAGTCTTTCAACTCTCGACCTGTTTATCTTTGAATGAGTACAAATTAAATCATCCTCGTGCTCAAGGCACCCTTTGCCCTCTTAAGTCAGTGTATATATGGTAAAATGCATACTTAATATCAGTGGACAGTTGTCAGTACCAGCATTTGCTCAGAGCCAAATCCTATATGACGTATAAATGTGTGAACCGTGTTGCGAACAAAACAGTTTAATGGGCAGTTTACTTTTAGAGCGTAGCTCTGTGATCTTGGCGTTAAATGTGCTTCCAATGCTGGAGAGTGGGGTCCCTGGCCACCTTTCAAGAGTTGCACCTAAATATGAAAAAAAAGTGCAAACTTAGAGTAGAAGCCTAAAATCAGAAAACACACAAATGCAGAAACTACTGGGGAAACAGTAACTGAAAAAGTAAAAACGTACTGTAAATTGCATCCAATTTGTTTTTGTGGAGTGGTAGACGAGTGTCTCCTCCGCCGCCTTCTTTGTTCCCCGGAAGATTGCTCGCCAGCAGCATACTTTTGAAATTCAGTTGACTTATTTTAATGTGACACACTTTTAACGATATGACATTCAAATTGGAACATTTTTTTTTTTAAACATAATTTATACTAAACAACAAGTGCAAGAAAGTCTTTCGTCAGTTGGACAATAAAGTCAGCACATTAAAAACAGGCTGAATCTTCTCGTGTTCGCATTATTGAACACTAACAATTTTTTTGAAGCAATTAAACAAGGACATGGTTTACTAAATGCCAGAGTTACTGTATCTTACCACTCACGAAGATTACTTCTCCTCTGTAATAAGGCCAACCTCCTCTCTGTTTCCTTCCATGACGCCATTCAATGACAGCTGTGTAGTTTGAAAGCGGATTTCCATCCTCTGCCATCTTGTCGTCATTGTACCCCCTAATGGCATCAGTGTTGTGTGGCTGCCTATTTATTTTTTGAAGCCTGAGATTTTGTGCTTACTTGTGTTTCTCCGTTTGATCAGATGTCCGGTGTGCTGCTCCCAGTGTCTCTGGTGCTGGAGTATTAACTCTGAGGCCTAGTCCACATGAAGGTAGTTATTTTTTTTTTAAACAGAGCTTTTCCTCCTCAGTGTAAGAAATAAATTAAAATCATTCAAAGATTTAAAAAATGTCAGTACTTATTTATGATTTAATAATATTTTTTATTGTAAGTGATTTACAGTATGTGGGCGGAGCTTTTAAAAATATACATTAAAAAAACCTTGAGCAGATTCGCTCTTATAGATTCTCACATCTACAGAGTACATTTCTAAATGGAGGGTAATCAAAATGTTTAAGGCACTCGTGATTTTATAAGATGCTGTCAAAGAAACATATGTCAATAGTGAGGGAATATTTAAAATATCCTGGAATAAATTCCTGCACAAATGTTTTCATAAAGGGGTCTTATAACAACACATGTAAAAAGATTTAAATCCAACTCCTGTAGGAACATCAGTGAGAGCTGTTCAACCTACCTGGAACCGTATTGGTGAAACATTTTAAATGTTAACCTCTGCCTTAGGTAGCTTGTGAGGGGTCAAACTAGGGGCTTTTAGGAGTCTGAATCCAAAACTTATGTTTTGCAAAAAAAGCTTTATTAAAAAAAGTAGCTTTACAAGTTGATTTAAAAAACTTGAATACTAGTTAAAAATAAATAAATAAATAACCCCCACAAATTGGTCGTGACACACTGGGGGGAGGGGGGAGATGCCTTCAATAATTGAATAAAAAAGTTTAATGATTTAAAATTACATATTTTACCCATTATTGTGAAAAAACATACAAAAAAGTAGTTGACAGTTCCTGCATGTTGTAGCTTTACGATTTCTGCATGCTGATATTCATTCAACACTTCTTTTTGCAGTTATCGTCAGTTGTAGTATTATTTTATATAAATGATTGTAATTATTATTACTACATTGTTATAAGTAGTAATAGCATAAAATGTATTTTAATTCTTTGTCTTTTCTTCATGTAGTTTAACATTGACACCAAACATACATGAGTCTGTTTTATGATGATTTTATTGTCATTACAGGGTCAATGATATTAGTGACCAAGGTAGATGAAGACATTTTGTACTGGACTTGTCTATCATCTAAAATCAATAAATATATATAATAAGCCTAATCATCATCATCAATCATCCTCATCCTCATCATCACCCTAATGATCATCCTCGGGATCACTTTCTTGATCCCCTTCAGGATCCCCTTCAGGATCGCCCACATGAGCGCCCACATGAGCGCCCACATGATCGCCCCCATGATTGCTTTTAGGATCCACTGCAGGATCATAATCAGGATCACCATCAGGATCCCAGCAGCCATCAATAGATGAGTCAGACTCCATCTGCAAACAAGAGGAGATAATGTCACTAAAACAGTCAGGTTCTAACTTCAATCATATCTTTGTCGAGTTGGCTTAGAGCTTTTTTGGAGGCTTTTGAGACATAAAGGCTGAGTGTGTGCTTTTCTTTACACCAGAGTAGGTACTCTCCCAGCACAAGAAGGACTTAAGTACACTTTGATCTTTTGTAACATAACATAAGAAAGAGTAAGGACTTTTACATCATTTGGATAGTATGTGACCTGAAAGACGTAAAGTACCTGGTCTGGGGTCCTCTGTTGGTGGTGTCACTATGGGAGTGTTCTCCCTGGTGAAGAATCTCCTCTGAAAACAGTTTAAATTCTGATTTAAGAAATAAAACTCACAAGTAGAACACATTTCATAGATTGTAAAGATGAACTATCCATATTTACCTAAGGGTCTCTGCTGCTCCAACACTCCTCCCACGTTGGGTGAGTTGTCCACATGATTCTGCTGATTGTTCCCAATCAGAGGCTGCAGCAGCACAGGGGACAGAAAGGTAAAGTCAGAGGGTCTCTAGCACACAGGAAAAATGCTGAATAATAAGGACGGCCTTGCAAACGAGCTTAGTCTAAAAGTGCTGTAGTGTGGGCCAAAGGTTTGCTTGATTTATACTTCCCATTATTCCCAAATAAACATCAAATTCAAGAAGATGTACACACTTACAGCAGGTAATGGATATGTTCTCTCTCCATCCACCACGACTCCAGTCAGACCAGTAGGGTCTGTGACACACTGGACCTGTAGGAGATCAAACATGATTCATATGATAATGAGAGGACAGATATCTTTATACTGTTTTAATAATATTTCACAATTAAGTATCAAATACAGTTGTTTATAATGTGAGTGTGTGTGTGTGTGTGTGTGTGTGTGTGTGTGTGTGTGTGTGTGTGTGTGTGTGTGTTTGCGTGCGTGTGTGTTTGCATCCATAAAGGAAGATATAAAATAATTGTACTCACCGGAGTAGATGACTCCTCAGGTTTTATTGGTTGAACCTGAGTATAAAACAACAAGACAATTATTGTGATTTACAGTAAAATACTGTATTGTCTCCCAGGGGGGAAATTTGACCGAAATAATGACCGTACTAAGCAAAGCACATTAAGATCTTAATTCTTGTTCAACAACTGCCAAATTTACTATCAATGAGCAGTCATTAGGAGGTATTGAGGGCAAACTCTTAGTATGCTACGAATTAGCACGCTAATAAAAACTAGTAAATGATGAATATTGTGACATTAATCTGAAGAGATACCAAATTATTAACAAGTTATTTGATTAAACTTTTGACCTCTTCTATCCTTTTTAAACTCTACACAATTCAATGTCCAGTTATAAAAATATAAACACAGAACATAAGTCAACTTTACAAAGCATGAACACAAGATCCAAATCCAAGAATGAAAAGCTAAAGAAAACACACTTTTCCACACCGACTGCTTCAATGAAAGTTATGTCATGGACTTCCCCTCCGACATGACAAAATGTCCGATCGGCAAGAAAAATATGACTGCAATCTAATTCACCGAGCCCAACAAACACGCTGCCCTCCTTAAATATGTTACCGGACAAGATGAAGCAGCTCCCTTTGTGAGGACGTGTTATATAAAAGATCGATAAAGTATATTAGCACAGCTATCGTCATCAACTCTATGCTAATGCTCATTATTATTAGCTAATGCTACTTCCCCGGTAAGTTTACACAAACATCCATTCACACAGTTCAATAACACCTATAATCTCACCATTTCTTCAGCTGAACATGAACAATGCAGAGTCGTTTACTAAACAGGCCTTTTTTTGGTTTTTTAACTTCAAGAAATTTAAAAATAACTGAACCCACTAGAACTTTACCTGAACACGCGTGGTTTCCTGTCCACCTCTCAAGGATGATCTCACTGTAATAGGACAGGATCCCCGGATCGCCCTCCAGATCGCCCTCCAGATCGCCCCCATGATCTCCTCCATGATCACATTTAGGATCCACTTCAGGATCATCTCCCTCTGGATGATCATAATCAGGATCACCATCAGGATCCCAGCAGCCATCGCCCTCAGGATCATCCTCGGGATCACCTTCCAGATCCCCCTCAGGATCGCAATTAGGATCCCCTTCAGGATCGGCGTCAGGATCGCACTCAGGATCATCTCCCTGTGGATGATCACCATCTGGATGGCATTCAGGATCATCTCCCTCTGGATGATCATAATCAGGATCACCATCAGGGTCACCATCAGGATCCCAGCAACCATCAATAGATGAGTCAGACTCCATCTGCAAACAAGAGGAGATAATGTCACTAAAACAGTCAGGTTCTAACTTCAATCATTTAGCATACAGACATCTCAAGACAGGAAATTAATAGAATATATCGTTTTTACACACAAATGAATCTTTGTTGAGTTGTCCTAAAGCTCTTTTGGAGGCTTTTGAGACATAAAGGCTGAGTGTGTGCTTTTCTTTACACCAGAGTAGGTACTCTCCCAGCACAAGAAGGACTTAAGTACACGTTGATCTTTTGTAACATAACATAAGAAAGAGTAAGGACTTTTACATCATTTGGATAGTATGTGACCTGAAAGACGTAAAGTACCTGGTCTGGGGTCCCCTGTTGGTGGTGTCACTATGGGAGTGTTCTCCCTGGTGAAGAATCTCCTCTGAAAACAGTTTAAATTCTGATTTTAGAAATAAAACTCACAAGTAGAACATATTTCATAGATTGTAAAGATGAACTATCCATATTTACCTAAGGGTCTCTGCTGCTCCAACACTCCTCCCACGTTGGGTGAGTTGTCCACATGATTCTGCTGATTGTTCCCAATCAGAGGCTGCAGCAGCACAGGGGACAGAAAGGTAAAGTCAGAGGGTCTCTAGCACACAGGAAAAATGCTGAATAATAAGGACGGCCTTGCAAACGAGCTTAGTCTGAAAGTGCTGTAGTGTGGGCCAAAGGTTTGCTTGATTTATACTTCCCATTATTCCCAAATAAACATCAAATTCAAGAAGATTGGCCTCAAACACAAGAAGGAGAAATAAGATATAGTGTTGTTGCTGGATATATTCATCTATGGAAAAAAGGTTTGCATCAATGTTCATTTCAGTTAGTAAACACTTACATCAGGTAATGGATATGTTCTCTCTCCATCCACCACGACTCCAGTCAGACCAGTAGGGTCATCGACACACTGGACCTGTAGGAGATTAAACGATTAAATATCAAATACAGTTGTTTATAATGTGTGTGTGTGTGTGTGTGTGTGTGTGTGTGTGTGTGTGTGTGTGTGTGTGTGTAATCATACTCACTGGAGTTGATAACTCATCGGGTTCTGTCGATCTAGCCTGAGTAAAAAACAGCACAACAATTATTGTGATTTATATTATAATTATTGGTAACATTTAACACGTTAAACATTTTCCCCATTTTGCTTATTAGCATGCTAATTAGTAGCATACTGGCTTCTTATTAGTAATTATTAAGCACCTATTAGTACCTTATTCTACATGACCATAGTCTATAACTAATAGGTCATTAACTAAGAGTTTGCCCTCCTAATGACTGCTCATTGATAGGAAGTTAGCAAGTTGTTTACCATGAATTATGATCTTATAAGGTAGAAGTAAGGAAAATCATATTAACATCATAATTCATATTCAACAACTTCTTAACTTACTATCAATGATTATCATTAGGAAGGAAAACTCTTAGTTAATGACCTGTTAGCTATAGATTATGGTCATGCAGCTTGTAGGCCTCTGCTAACAGCTAGTTAAGGGTTAATATTGTAATAATGTCCAGTTATAAAAATATAAACACAGAACACAAGTCAACAGTTTGAAATAAACACAAGATCAAAATCCAAGAATAAAGAGTAAAAGAAAACTGTTTCCACACCGACTGCTTCACTGAAAGTTATAACGTTACTGTGTTCTGCCTGATGAGCCTCATGGAGACTCCCCTCCGACATCTTATAATATAAAATATCCGACCGGCAAGAAAACATGACTCCAATCTGATTCACCGAGCCAGACTAACACGTTGCCCTTATTAAGTTTTGACTCATTAAATGACTGGACGAACCAGCTCCCTTTGTGAAGACGTTTTACAAAAAGATCGATACAGCACATAAGCACAGCTATCGTCGTCAATGCTATGCTAATTATTAGCCTATTAGTTAATGCTAATCTCAGCTAATTTGCCGGTAAATTTCCATAAACATTCATTCAGACAGTTCTATAACACCTAAACAGGTATATTTATAAATATATATATATATACTTATATTCTTTAACACCTATAATCTTACCATTTCAACAGCCGGAGTCTTGTTTACTAACGTAATGCCTTCTTTGGCTTTTTGACTTCAGGAGCTACCAGGTAAACTAACAAACATGGCCTGCTGATCACCTGATATGACGTGTTGTCTTATGTAATAATAGGAACAGCATCTTTGGTTCTTTTAAAGCTCCCCAATCATTTCCCACAATCAGATTTCAGCTTACCTTAGATGTTGAGCCGTATGTCTTTTTTCACTGTTTTTGTGATCTCATCTGCTTCACTTCACTTCAGCCGAGCTGCTTTGACTACAGTCCTGGTTGTAGAGATTTCTGATCATTTGTGTTCACACCAGTTTACTTCATAAGTTTGATTCCTCGTTGTACGATCATCATTCAGTGTCCACTTCCTCCTTTGAAGACCAGAGAATAAAGATGATTTTTGTGGGAGAGTGAGTCAGTGGAAGCCCCCCAGAACACACTTGAAACTACAAGAGTATCCATATTTGTAGACCTTTCAGTTTACTCCTTTCTCTGTAAGAAATAAAGAGAACATGATTTAGAAAAAGAGAGACTGATTGATTAGAAATGTCCACCTACTGAGAGATTTACTTGAAATGAAGTAGTCACAGATGGGTCAGCTGGTTGATGCAAATCAGCAACTGCTCCTGACAGGTGAATCTGAAGCATAGCCACACCCTTAGTATTTGTTTTATTCCCCTCTGATGTACGTCCAAACAAACTGGACAAGGTTATTAAACTAAGCAGCAAGATAACTGGGAAACAAATGTGCAGCATGTCTTACCTGACAGACCTGTACACAATACTTATATTATGTATATTACTTTTAAAAAAAGTTTTCTTCTCTCTTCATCTCCCCCTCCCCTCTCTGTTCTCGTTCTCCTGCAGGTACGTATGTCAGGAGGTGTGGCTGCAGCAGGCGGAAACAGGTCAGAGACCTGTTTCCGCCTGCTCTTCACTCCACTACTGTGAATCAACTCATTGTGTGGTGCTGGAGTTTTAACTCTGAGGCCTAGTCCACATGTAGGCAGTTATTTATTTTTTTAAACAGAGGTTTTCCTCCTCAGTGTAAGAAATAAATTAAAATCATTCAAAGATTTAAAAAATGTCAGTACTTATTTATGCTTTAAAAATAAATTTTATTGTAAGTGATTTACAGTATGTGGGGGGAGCTTTTAAAAATATACATGAGATGCCTTCCATAATTAAATAAAAAAGTTTAATGATTTAAAATTACACATTTTAACCATTATTGTGAAAAAACTTACAAAAAAGGAGTTGACAGTTCCTGCAAGTTGTAGCTTTACGATTTCCACATGCTGCTATTCATTCAACACTTCTTTTTGTAGTTATAGTCAGTTATAGTATTATTTTATATTAATGATTGTAATTATTATTACTACATTGTTATAAGTAGTAATAGCATAGAATGCATTTTAATTCTTTGTCTTTTCTTTATGTATTTTAACATTGACACCAAACATACATGAGTGTGTTTAATTATGGTTTTATTCTCATTACAGGGTCAATGATATTAGTGACCAAGGTAGATGAAGATGAGTCATCCGCAGGCACAAACCCTTCACAAATACAGGTTGTTAAGTTAAAAAGACATTTTGTACTGGACTCGTCTATCATCTAAAACAATGTTTCTCAAATGGGGGTACGTGAGAGTACAGCAAGGGGTACGTGACAAATGTTGTTAAAAAAAGTTGCACCACTACAAACCAATATAATGAATTCTAGGAAAATCCATTCACTGATTAAAGACAAATTAATTAACAGCACATGTTCTCTATGCAACGTTTAATATGGCACTATTTCCAACTTCAGGATATTCATTTATAATATAGCTTGCATTATGTATGAATGTATGAAGACGTATGTCTTCATACAGAAGACAGTACCACATACATCACATACATCACAGATGTACCACATACATCAATTTATTGATTTACCAAAATTATTTCCTGAAAAATGTTCTTGGCCAGACAAAGGGGTACACAAGCAAAACGTTAGAGAACCCGTGATCTAAAATATAAAAAGAGTTTTAAAAAAAAAATAATAATAATAATAATAAACCTAATCCCCATCATCATCTTCATCATCATCAATCATCATTATCCTCATCATCATTTCATAATATATCTGAAGCTTGTATTTTCAGCCTTTCGACAAGCTCTTTTAAGCATCTTCACCCTTTCCCCATTTCCCCAAGGAGCCTTTGGTTTATTGTTATTTTCTGTAGTTTTGACTGGAGCAATGCTGTCAATGATGTGACTTAAAGCCGAGTTGAAATTGTCCATCATCTCATCACATGATGACATGATGTGCAAATTATGGTTAATGTATTCCTGAATAAATATCTCAGTGGTATTGTCAATAATAACACGCTTGTTTGAAATTCTGACTACGTTGTCATGTTTTGGTGTGCAGATCATATTAAAAAATATGCAGAAGTGACCTGAAATTGCAACATCCACAATATCAGTAACTGTTATAGTTGCACTGTGGCCTTTAGATAGAATCAGGTCGAGGGTGTGTCCTTGTTTATGTGTGGGCCCCGTAACATGCTGTGAGAATTCAAATGTGTCTAGTATATTTAATAGTTGTTTTGTGTCCAGATTCTTGGGGTTGTCGATGTGAATATTAAAGTCACCAGGAATTACAATGCAGTCATAGTCTATAGAAGCGAAACGGAAGGTAAAAATGAAAGTAGCGAGGAACCATTAGATACAGGCACTAGGACCCGAGGGAGGTCAATAGTAGTTAGACTGGTAAGAGGGAGTCATTGAATTGTTTTGGTTACCTGGGAGCGGAACACATGTTGCACTTCCACAACTCTCCCAGCAGAAGGACTTAAGTACACTTTGATCTTTTGTAACATAACATAAGAAAGAGTAAGGACTTTTACATCATTTGGATAGTATGTGACCTGAAAGACGTAAAGTACCTGGTCTGGGGTCCTCTGTTGGTGGTGTCACTATGGGAGTGTTCTCCCTGGTGAAGAATCTCCTCTGAAAACAGTTTAAATTCTGATTTTAGAAATAAAACTCACAAGTAGAACACATTTCATAGATTGTAAAGATGAACTATCCATATTTACCTAAGGGTCTCTGCTGCTCCAACACTCCTCCCACGTTGGGTGAGTTGTCCACATGATTCTTCTGATTGTGTAAACTTTTGACCTCTTCTATCCTTTTTAAACTCTACACAATTCAATGTCCAGTTATAAAAATATAAACACAGAACATAAGTCAACTTTACAAAGCATGAACACAAGATCCAAATCCAAGAATGAAAAGCTAAAGAAAACACACTTTTCCACACCGACTGCTTCAATGAAAGTTATGTCATGGACTTCCCCTCCGACATGACAAAATGTCCGATCGGCAAGAAAAATATGACTGCAATCTAATTCACCGAGCCCAACAAACACGCTGCCCTCCTTAAATATGTTACCGGACAAGATGAAGCAGCTCCCTTTGTGAGGACGTGTTATATAAAAGATCTATAAAGTATATTAGCACAGCTATCGTCGTCAACTCTATGCTAATGCTCATTATTATTAGCTGATGCTACTTCCCCGGTAAGTTTACATAAACTTCCATTCACACAGTTCAATAACACCTATAATCTCACCATTTCTTCAAATGAACATGACCAATGCAGAGTCGTTTACTAAACAGGCCCTTTTTTTGTTTTTTTAACTTATATTAAAATAACTGTTCCAGCTAGAACTTTACCCTAACACGTGTGTTTCCTGTCCACGTTTACAAGATCTTTTTGTAATAGGTTATGAGAATATTTCCTTATAATAATGTAATAATAATAATAATGATAATAATCTATTATTATTAATAATAATAATAATAATAATAATAATAATGTAGTAATAATAATAAT